GGAAGAGAACAGCAGCACCTGGGGAGAAGAACATTTGGGGGAAGAGCTAGAATTGCTAAACACCATGCTGAGTTAGATACTAAGGCTAAAAGCAGGCTTCTCAGCCATGTAATTTAGAAAACACAAGGAGAAATTAGGTGGGAACAGAAATAAGTTTTAGGGAGAGCTGTATGTAGGGGCTGCAGCAAAATGCCCCAGAAGGCCATGACAGCAAACAGATGTAAGGAAGGAAGAGCCTGAAGCGAAATGCCAAGAGTTCAAAGGAGCAATGCTGAAGAAGGACGGATAATCTTCATTTGAGATTAACGTGAAAGTGCAGGCAGGTAGCAAGGCTTGTTAATGCACTTGTCAGCTCAGGGAGCAACACACAGAGGACATCCCTGTTGAAGCAGGGCAGAGAGGATGACAAGCAAAGGGCAGTGAGCTAAGCAACCACAAGTTCATTTCTATAGGTCTATTGATCCATAGGGTACCAGGCTGTAGAGCAAATTTGGAGGGGGAAGTAGTTAAACACATCAAAGTAAATCAGATCAAGTGCAGGGGAGGCTGACCAAGGGGGACTGTCCCAGTCATCTGACACCTTTGGTAACACCAAATCCTCTAGACAAGGGAGAGGTAGCAGAGACCTCCGGTGAACTTGAGTAACGTTGTAGTATCATGCAGGAAGCCACAGCTAAGGAACTGCGAACCACATAAGGAATTAGGAAGAGGAGAGACAAATGGTTCTGTTAGAAAAGGCATTGGTCCGAGGAGGGGGGGGGGGGGGCGACTACTGCAGCTCATGAAGGTTGAACCCAGAGAGCAATCTTAATGCTTTTGCTAATGGTCTCGGTATAAAACCCAGGAATTTGCTGTTTTGCAGTGTTGGGAGTCTCCAGTCATGCTGAGGGGCAGAGAGGGTAGGTGTTGTGTGCCACACAGAACTCCCTGTGATCCCAAGAGGTGGTGGGGACACCGATGTGCATCTCCGGAGAGGATACTGACCTGCATGTATCCACCGATCACTTTCCTGGCACACAAGAAACGTCCTATCCTCCCCTCCTCCCAGCTCTAAAAACGAGCACGGAGATGACTCACAGAGAGGCTTTCTCTGTATCTGGGATGAACCAGGTTGGCCTTTCTCACATGATCAGCTCTGCCTGCGGCAGAGCAGCCCCAGGCAGCCCCGGAGCCGGGTGCTATCCTCCCGCATTACATCATGCAGGATGTCACCGCTGCAGCCATTTCTTAAAGACTCACTCACCACGGTATGACATACCGAGTAACAAGCAGCAAAACACATTTCCCAGCGGGGGGAAAAAACACATGCTGTGTGTATTCTCAAGGTATGGCTAATGAAATACAGCTCTCAGCATCTCTGGGGCTGCTGGCAGCTGCTGCATTACGAATACAGTCACAGCTGCAAAAAAGAAGTACATCTCTTTCTAAGAGTTTAGGCTTTTCTGCTTCCTTCAAACCACTTGCACAGAAACACTTTCTAGACCTGCTTCTCACTGCCAAGCTGAAAACGCCAGAGTGAAGTAACAAGATGCGATCTCCTGCCATAAACTCCTCCACACAGAACAGATCAGAGAATGCTGCCTTGCCTGGCAGGGGTGTGAGGCAGGCACCGTGCCTGTGCTGCCAGGCCCCTGCAGAGACATCAGTCCTGCGGGACAGGCTCACCCACTGAGCCAGCAACCTCTGAGGCCAAAGACTCCCACAGCCTCCGTAACATCAC